TACCAAAAGCAGTTCACCAGATATATCTAAGAGGAAATCACAAATATGAATAAATATGTAATCATGCATGTTTTCTGAAAGATGAATTAAGGGCATTTGAATTGTCATTATTAGTTCAGTTTTATCAGGTGAGAGTTCCAGTATAGCAAGAATATTCATACAGACATTTAGTAAAAAAAATGGGCAAAGAATATTCATTTTTGATTGGACACTAGCAACTAGTGTGGCGTGTCTAATCCTTTCTTTGGTACAGACTGAATTCTATCAGTCAGGTTTACAATGTGGTCACCATCACCTAGGTCTAAGGTTTCCTGCCGACTGCCTCCAACCATCTAATATCATCAAATCAATGTGCGCCGTGTTGGTGAGCTACCTAGAATGGTGGCCACATTGCAAAACCTGACTAACTGATAGAATTCAGTCTGCACCAAAGAAAGGACTAGACACGCCACACTAGTTACTGACTAGTGTCCAATCAAAATACCCACTACAGTCCTACAGGAGGTCAATCGCGAACCCGAATAGCTAGCTCAGTGGTAACGTCTCTGACTGCAGCATCGCACTGGGTGACGCGGGTTTGAATATCAGAAGGAACATGAATTCCTCCAAGGTTGTAGATACGCTTCGATGATGGATGTCAACTAGCACGAAACCTAGGTTCAAGACTTCCTGCCGATTGCCCCCAACAATCTAATGTCATCAAAGAATATTCATTTTTGATAACTTTCTCTTCCGGCTCTACAATTACATATAGATATTTATATGCACAGAAAATTCTGGAATGATTATGATTATTAATATTGGTGTTAAGACTGGATAATGGTTCGGGAGTGGTTATCATGAACAAAGCGGATTACTTCAAGAAGATGAATACCATTCTTGGTGACAATCTAAAATTCCAAAAAATCTCATCTTCTCTGGATTCGATTGAAAAGATAGACACAAACAGTTAGCTGAAACATTGAGAAGGCTGAAACAACAAGACTTCACCTCACAAAGTCAGTACACATTAGTGAGGGGAAATAGAGATAAACTGGTCGGGAATACATGAAGGAAACTTTCGAATGACATCACATACCATGCTATAGCGATGCATTGGTCGTCAGTGCTAGGGTGACATGGAGGAGATTGTTTGGAGAGGAGGAGATGAGAGATTCTGTAAAATCTTGGGACCAGCTGAAGAGGACGGTAAAAAAACGGAACAAAGTGGAGATGTTTTGTCGGAGCCCTGTGTTCCACTTGGAACCCAAGAGAATAATAATAGGCTTGCTTAAGTAGGTTTCAAGATTAGAAGAAATTTGAGGTATCCAACACATGTATAATCTGTGCGTTGAAGTTTCTATAGCGATTAAGGTTGATTTCCTGGGATAGGATGGCTAGCCTCACTACAGACGATTGAAGAAACCAAGTTCAAATGGAAATATGCTTCTGAAGTGTGGAACCAGAAGGAATAAATATTATATTAATGATAGTATTATGTACGAACCTATGTATATATAAGCAATTGTGATGACCATTTCCAGCATACTTGTCTCATAGGAAAGAAATTTCTGTGTCTACGCCATATGAATAACAAATTTTTCTTACCCTAATGCAGATGGGGTTTACCAGGTTACTCTTTGTATAATTAGCCATTGAACTATGAAAGTTAGTTAATTGTTCATTCTATGGACGCTTTTTGTGGATATATGAGGAGATCGTCATGAAAAGGAATGAGGAATTCATGTAGGTTTTCGAACGAAAGCAGATGTCTTCCCGGTGGGTGCGTACTGCTGAAGAGTCCCAAACTAGGACGAAACAGCCATCCAGTATTCCCAGGTTTTTTAATGGTTCTCTAACTAATGTTAGCTCATGATGAAATCCTGAAACCAATCAAATCCCTACAAACCAACACTTGAATACCAATGAGATGCTCACTGGCGACTGGCCCTATTCAGGTAGGTAGTTACCTGGGTTCCAGTGGGAAGTCGTGACCAGTAGGGTGCAGCTGGTCGGGTGTGAGGACAAATACTCGCCGAAGACATTGGCTAGCGGTTGCGCTATGTCGTGAATTGGCAGAAGTTAAAACTCAAGGACAGTTGGATCGGGTCCCAGTGGCTTAATGGTAAACAAGGTCGCCTTGTAACCGGAAGGTCCTGGGTTCGAATCCCGGTGGGTGCGTACTGCTGAAGAGTCAGTCCCAAACTAGGACGAAACAGCTGTCCAGTACTCCCAGGTGGTTTTCCAATGGTTCTCTAACTAATGTCAGCTCATGATGAAATCCTGAAATAACATTTTTATCTGAGATGATGAACATGTCATCTAAAGATTTTTAAAAATGTCCAATATCTTGACTAAGCTAAGTGTTCTCAAGCTTTTACATAAAACAGTTAGCTGGTAGTGTATCAAGGAGTGATATCATCGCAGTATCACCTTTTTGTGATCATAGCTCATTGATAAAGTTCAAGAGGACATTGAATGTCTACTTCGGCAAGAGTTCTTTGACTCAGGTTGTCGGTAACCCTTAAATTTAAACTATATACATCAATATAATCACGTATATAACATACGATTTCTTTAAGAAGTACATTAGTACATAATGAAGTCACGATTTTACCTGGAACATTGAAATCCTTACTAAGCTCAGGAGATTGAAATATGTCATCAGTAGAAAACTTGACTTTTAACAAATTCCAGTATTTCAGATGTCTGTCAAGCCGAAGTCATGAACCAGACTATCGCTTGAGTGGAACCCTTGTGGGTAAAGAAGAATTGGGTGTAGCTTCGAGGGTGATGAGAGAACGCAAGCTTATGAGCAATTATCAAGCATGCTAAAAAAGGACTACAAAAAAAAACAGAATGAAATAACGATGTACAAATTGAAGCCTTCTGTTACACTTGGAACCCAAGGGACAAATTATTCTTTAGAGAATTAATCATCATGAGTTGACATTGGTCAGAGAAACATTGGAAAGCAGCTGAGAGTACTGGACAGCTATCTCAGCATAGATAGATAGATAGTCATCTGAAGTACGCACCCACCGCCAGGGTTCATACCCAGGAACTTCAGCCACTGGAACCCAATCCAATGACCAGTCCATGAATCCCAGTTCCTGCCAGTTCACGACATTGCACGACTGCTGCTAGCCAATGTCATCGGTGACGAGTATTTGACCTCACTCTCGAATGGATAGACTCCACTTGTCACGACTTCCCAATAAAACCCAAGTAACTGCCAACCGCCAAGCCAACACTTGAATGTTAATCTGATTCTCGCCAACGACTCGCTCTACTCAGGTAGATGCCTACTGATGAAGACTCACAAAATAGGATGATACAATCGGCTGTCCAGTACTCTCAGGTTCTCTAACCAATGTCAGGTGATGATGAAATTCTGCTCCCAATCAAATCCCTACGTTTGCTTAGTTACATAAAACTCTCATTTCTCTTGTTTTTCTGGCCAAGAAGTTGTGGAACATAGAGAACACAGAGGTGATGAAGATTTCTCAAGTCTGTGTAGAGATCAACAACACTCAGCATGAAAATGAAAATAAGATCCGGATTTTCGAATCCATTGGGAAGTCAGTGCTACAATACGGATGGATCAGAGACTTGGCGCCTCACCGTGTCACGAAGAGCACTTCGAAAAAACTACACACCCTCATCAACTACTGTCTTCACTCAATGCTACTCAAGATCAGATGGTCGGCGAGAAAAGATAAGCAACAGGGAGGGAGCTCTGGCAATAAAGGAACCTACCCAACAGGAACCAAATGTGCAATAAATATGCAGGAAGAAATGGAGGTGGATTGGATTGGTCATAATCTGAGAAAACAAACCATCAAATGACATCAAACACCAGACCATGGCTCAAGTGGAACCCGGATGGGAAGCGGCGATTTGGTTGTTAGTGTAAGGGTGACATGGAGACGGAGGTGATGTGAAGAGGAGACGAAAATATGTGAGGAGGCATGTAGCCAGGTGAAAATGTTGCCGGAGAACCGAACGCAATAGAGACGTGCGTAGCGAGCCCTATGTTCCTCTAGGAAATGATGGAAACAATAATAATAGTAATAATTTATTCATTTAAACCCCCTCTGTTAAGTCCATTTAGTACTAAACTACTTTCTTATGGTTAAAATATAGAATATTATTATTATTGTTTCCTTTAGTTCCTAGAGGAACAAAGGGCTTCAGCTGCGCACCTCCATTGACTTCGGTTTTCTGACAACTTTTTCACCCCGCTCCAGGTCTGTCCACATGCTTTCATCTCCTCCTCGCATGACCTCCTCCAAGTCACCCTTGCACTGACGACCAACTCGCCGCCTCCCTTTCGGGTTCCACTCGAGCGATTGCTTGTCTAGTGATGTCACTTGATGGTTTCCTCAGAGTATGGCCAGCCAATCCATCTCCATTTCTTCCTGCCTATTTGTTTCACAAACGGTTCCTGATTGGTTCGCTCCCAGAGATCCCTGTTGCTGATCTTTTCTGGCCATCTGATCTTGAGTATTGAGCGGAGACAGTTGTTAATGAAGGTTTGAAGTTTGTTTGAGATGCTCTATATGACTCGCCAAGTCTCTGATCCGTATGGTGGGTAGCAGTGACTTCACATTGGAGTTGAAAATCCATATCTTATTTTTGATGCTGATTGCTGTTGACCTCCACACAGATTTGAGAGTAATGAAAGCTTGTCTTGCTTTTCCGATTCTGGCTTTGATGTCCTCGTCAGTTCCGCCTGTAGTTGAGACGATGCTTCCCAGGTAGGTGAAGGAGGTTGTTTCTTTCAGGTTCTTCCCATTTATGCTTATTGTGGTCTGTTGGTGTTGTTGATGTTGGCTAGGAATCTTCATCATCTCTGTTTTATCTATGTTCACGTGAAGTCCTATCTTTGATGCTTCTTCTGCCAACTTGTTACTTTTCACTTGCATATCTTCCAGTTTATGGGAAATCAGACATATATAGAATAAAGTCGGTGATATTCAGAAGAATCTTAACCTTTTTATTTAACAGTCAATTCTATTCTGAGTTTTATAAAGTTAGTTATATATAGTGTATATACTATACAATAAGTAACAACCAAAAAAAAAGAAAGACACCATACAATGAAACCAATAATCTAATTTGTCTGAAGAAATTCACGTAAACGAGGATCTGATCTCAACCGTTTCTCTAATGCCATATATCGTTGAGGTGCTGTACGTTTATGCCAAGCCAGCATTGACTCCAATGTGGTAATCTTAAACGTTGCATCTTTACAATACTGTAAATACTCCTGTTCATCTTCTTTACTCAAATTTATCTGATTCAAATGATACCATTGTTGTTTCTTCTGCAAGGATTCTGTTTCTTTTTCAAATCTTGCCTGTATAATATTCGCTTTTGTAATTAAACGTTGCTTACAATCCAGTAGGCATTCTTCACGCAAAGCAAATGCTTGTTCACGTGTTAATTTATTATCAGCTATTTCAATTTGTGCAAGGAATGGTTCTAAATAATCCAGCTCAATTTCTTTACAACGATTACGTTCATTCTCGGCAATTCGCTCCAATTCAATACGTAATTCTTGTGCTTCCAGATTACGTAATGTATCGAATAAATCGATAGTGAGTGTGATTTGTAACTCTTCGGTTAAACGTTCATTCAATATTTTACTGATTTCATTTTCTGATTTACGTACCAATTCTTTAGATTTCTCTTCTTCAGCTAATAGATTTACAAGCATATTATAAATTTCTACTTGTGTTTTAGGCTTTGCAAATAAATCAACCTATAAAATAAAAAAATGTTTGAAAAAAAAGAGAATAATTTTATAATGGCGCTGCAGGATTATATTCTGTGAAAGAGTGTTTAACATTGAAAGTCAGAAGAGATACTTAGCTCTATGCGCGATCCAACCTGATGTCCTCACTAAAACTGTAACCCTGTGACCACATTTCAAATTTCAAAGCTTTATCTATTAAACTTCTTTGGTCACAATAAGCACCTCTTTCTATGACCAGTTAATGAATTCAGTTCATAGTTCAGGACAAGAGGCCACTTTTCGCCATCTTAATGTATATTCATCAGTTTACTTGTTCATGTAGAGAAAAATCATATCGGCCGTACACAATGTCAAGTATGCAAAATGTATTCTGAAACACTGTCTAGCCTGGATAGCTATGGGAGAAAGGTAGAATACCAACAGTTCTATTTTCAAACCCCGAGTCAACCCTAAACATGGGGCATCATGAATTTGTTTATTAGTCAGTGGAACAGTATTATTATCCACTGGATGACAAGGTTTCGACCACAATTTATTTACTGTTCAAAATCATATTATCAAGGTGTAACTATACAACTTTGGAACTTCAGCTTGATGCTTTTATTTGTCCTCTCCTATTCGTCATCGTAGGCGTGGTAGTAGAATTTTCGAGATCTTCAAATGGACAAGTGTTGAATCACTCCTATTACACGTGTTTGCAAATTATTCGGTAAACAAAGCTTATGTTGTCAATTTCTCCCTCCACCCTGTGACATAAGATTTTAAAACTGTCATACTATTCCATCCATCCTATTGTATGGTTGTGTGTAATCTCATGTAGTGAGTGGCATAACTGAACTATTCTCCAGATTTCTTATCTTAGTGTCGGGTCAACTAATATAGATTTTTCTAGGTTCTTATGCTCCGCTAGTCTGACTGACTGCACCTCTCCTACTTCTTTGACCTATGTATTTCACCTGACAATCATTGCAGACAGGGTATTAGATAAACTAAATTGTTTTGTTTAATGGGCTTTACAGGATTGATCCTTCAGCCGACAAAGCTTGTTTCTAATTGAGTTTGTCTGTGGAGGTTTGAATGCTAGCTACTTTTATTGCTGCCTGGCTTGTTAAGAATTCTGCGTAAGGTTTTCGCGGTTCCTTTCTTGTTTGGAATTACTACTGATGATTTAGATTCCTTATTGTTGGTGTTGTCTTGCGCAAATTTGACATGCATGTCGTCAATAATATTATTATCACTGTCGCTACTGTAATTATTTATTTTATTTTTACATTTTCCTAAATAGTTTCTGATTAATTTATCCGGGTGATTATTAAGTTTCAAGGCTTCTTTTATGTGTATCACTTCCAGTCTTACATTTTCCTTGGTACTACTTAGATTTTGTGCTCCATTGTCACTTAAACATTTTACCAATCCTATTTTCACTGACATAGGATGGAATGATTGGAAGTTCAAATATCTGTTTAAATGTGTGGGTTTCCTGTAAACATATTAGTGTATGTTTAACGTCCTTCCCATCTTCTTTCCTTTTTACGTTCCAATCTAACATTGGAAGCTCCCTTAGCTGACTTTCCAAATTATAAGTGAATTGAACTGCCTTCACCTTTGGGTTAATGTGTTCGAAAAATTTATCTATATCCTGTGTTCTGAGAACAGTGAATGTGTCTTCTACATACTTCTGACTTTTAACCTCTCCTGCCCCATGTCTTGATGTTTTCACCAAGACTCTAAACCCTGTGTCTACGTTTCAAATCTTAAAGTCTTATCTATTCAGCCACTTGGGCCACAAGAACAGTGTCAGTCACTAATTAGGTGATCATATTTTGTATTTCCATCATTTAATTGATTACATTGAACCGAAACTTCCAGATCTTTGCTGACATATTACGGATATCTTACAAATCTCTGTTAGATACTTCATGCATTTATTCCCCTTGATGAATTTCATTAAAGCAAGAACAACACTGTGGTTTGTACAGAATAATACGGTCCCATCAACTGCTTACAGTCTAAATAAATTATTATTATTAGGTTTATTTACAGAAAAGTTCTAGCATACTTGTAAATTTTTTTTTCATGATGTCACTTAGCGACAGGAGGTTTCGTAATTAGTGAACAGTGCTCAGAAAATCACGCTTACATATAGTTGTCATATAGGCAGTTTAAGTTTAAACAAAATAAGTGTATGCATATGTCAATGAATTTGAAGATTGAACGATCAATTCATGGTTGTTTGCTCAAAATCAACTTCCCCAATTTTCGCGGAGGCATCAATACGACAGTCATCGTCTCATCGGTCGCTGTTCAGAAAGAAGTCAGCAGAAAACCATCAGAAACCCTAGTTATAACAGTGTTTATATGTTGGTGTTATAATAAAGAATCCTCGAGTCGCCAATTGGTGTTTTGGTTTTTGCGTCCGTTATTACTAAGCGTTTCTGAGAAACTTCAAGGAACAGCGTGAGCCCGAGTGCAGTAAGAGCTGGGCATTAACGGTTCACGAGACGTGACTGACAGCATACAATGGTAAAGGAGTCACATAATGAAGAAGAATGATGCGTAAGATGCTGACTGACTAATAAATAATATCATTGTATTTTCTCAAGTTTGCCGAAGCAATTTCTATCAAATACTTGAAACCCGATTCATGTGTTCGGAAGGAAGCAGTAATTAGTCTTTCCTTTCCACTCTTGTAACTCTCTCTTTCATTTGATTACATAACCTTTGGCTTTAACCTCACCCTCCCTGGGATAGAGTGTAATTTTTCTTGTCTCTTATCCCTATGATTTGAGTTTAACTCATATATATATATATATATATATATATATATATATATATATATATAATACAACACAAGTTAGTGGTGCCTCTGTAAGCAGTGCGGCATTAGAAAATTTGAAGCAGTCGGTCACAGGAAGCCTTGAACCTAGGTTTCGTAGTAGTTGTCACTCGTCAACAATGTTGAAGGAACTCATAACCCTTCTGAGATTCAAACCCGTGTTATCCAATGAGTGTTGCAGTCAGAGACATTACCACTGAGGCATTCGGGTTGGTGATTGACCTCCTGTAAGACTGCCTGTGTTGGATTTCTTTCATTGGACGCTAGTTACCGGCTAGTTTCCAATCAAAGGATTGTGATAATTGAACACCTTGTCAACACTGATCACTTTATGTCAACAAATACCACCTCTTTCAAAGTGATCTTCAAGCACAAGGATAACCTGCTGAAGGTAATAATCTTTCGTCTCCTCTGGGCACTGTTGAAGCCTAAGCCATTCAGGTAGAAAAACTAGAGTTATGCATACAAAAAGGTAATGAATCAACCACTTTTACTATCATGGTAACAACTCTGTTCATTTCTATTGTCTTGATTTCTGTTCGTTTGTGTTTGTTTTCTGAACTCCTTATAACTCTTTTAACGGGGCTTTAGAACTCTTACGTAATTCCATATTTACCTTCATTTCTATGTGCATGCTAATCACAACTCAGCCTTTATATTTCATACATTTGGCTCTTTTGATAAATTTTGATAGAGAAAGAAAGACCAGATTTACAGTGTAAAATGATATCGTCATTCTGTTTCACAGGTACTCATCAGCTGCACGCCACTACCTGAAATTAGGCTACCTGAAAAAAGAATGAGATGTTCAATGAAAAGAAGCTTCCTTTCAGCTCAACCTATCACATTATACAGCACTACTTCTTCTGTAAGCCAATCAAAACTGGATAAATACCCTGCTGATGTCACCTGCAACTGCGTTTATGAATTTACGTGCACTTGCGGGAGCAAGTACATTGGAAGGAAGGAAAGAATGGCTTCTATCCGATGGTTTTCTGAACATATTCCAAGAAACCTGTGCTTGAAAGGAAACAAATATTCTCAGAGTACAATTACCAGACACACCTTATTGATACTGGTCATCTCGTAGAGATTTCTAAGTCTTTCAAAATATTAAATAGACAAAAAAGCAGCAAATTTACTATGATTTGCCGAAGCCAACGCAATCAAACGATTCAACCCAGACTTATGCATACAGAAAGAGTGTGATTAATCTCTCAGTCCTATGGTAACTGAATTTTTGTAATTTTGATTACATTTTGATTAGTCATCTAATTCAGTGATCTCAACTCACTGAGTAAATCTCAATCTTATAAAAACTCTAACCGCTTTTGTTTTTCTTTTTCGAATTGTTATGTGAACCTACAAGCTAACACTGTTCTGTTCATGTTTTCTGCTTCCTGTCTTACTTTTCCACTCTCTCCTTTCTACTATGAAATAGTAAAAATTGATGATGAAAACTTAAACTAGAAATTGTAATGAGTCAATTTTATATTTGCATGGAGGATTTAATCATGAGCTGACATCAGTTAGAGAACCACTGGAAAACCTGGGAGTACTGGACAGCTGTTTCGTCCTAGTTTGGGACTGACTCTTCAGCAGTACGCACCCACCGGGATTCGAACCCAGGACCTTCTGGTTACAAGGCGAGCTCGTAGACCATTGAGCCACTGGGACCCGATCCAATGGTCCTTGAATCCTTGAATTGGATCGGGTCCCAGTGGCTCAATGGTCTACGAGCTCGCCTTGTAACCAGAAGGTCCTGGGTTCGAATCCCGGTGGGTGCGTACTGCTGAAGAGTCAGTCCCAAACTAGGACGAAACAGCTGTCCAGTACTTCCAGGTTTTCCAGTGGTTCTCCAACTGATGTCAGCTCATGATTAAATCCTCCATGCAATCAAACAAAATCCCTACAAAACCAATACTTGAAAATTTTATATTTTTTCTTCTCTACTACCAATTAAACATTAAAGTATGTTGTTATCATCATCTGTATAACTATGGTAATTTCAGGTAGTGCTGCGCAGCTGAAGAGAACCTGTGAAATAGAATGATGATATCATTTTATACTGCAACTCTTTAAACTACTCATCTTATTACGTAACTCTCATACACTTACTCAACGCCATTTGTGCGTCGGTGGCACAGTGGTTAGGACTCTCACCGACCATGCAAATGGTTCGGGGTTCGACCCTCTGCCAACTCACACCTGATATCTATGGTCGGTCTGCAAAATGTGGGCTACTGATATCATATGCTGAAAATTCCATACCTGTACCAGAAATTAGGTGTGGAGTCAAGCTGTAATGAAAAATATTAAAAAAATCGAGTATTAATAGTCATGTTTGTGAAAACTCATCAGTTTTATTTCTATCCTCTTTCTACCCTCTACCCCCTTTCAGGTTTTATACAAATGCCGAAAAGAACCTCTTCGCTGATCATATCATAAGTTTATATGAGATTTTATCAAAATAAAACCTTCATCCAAAATGGATACCCACCAATATTCATAGACAAAAGTATCAAACCAAGGGTCCACGGGAACGAAACATCACTTTACATGAATCTGAACTTCAAACGAGACTTAGCTTATGATATCTTCAAGAGGAGAATTTCAGCATCTTTGAAAAAAGAACATTCTTCACAGCAACGCTAAGAGTAGTGTCCTCCAGTCGTCCATTGATCTGCAATAGCTGCCAAGTTTCTGACCCGTACAGAAGAATTGACTGACTTGCCGTTTGTATTGAAAATCCGACCGAAATCTGTTGTTGATGCTGGCTGATTGACGAAGATTTCCAGATTGGTTGTTTCAGGTTGATGAATGTGTTTCTCGCTCGCCTTCCCGATTCTCGCTCGATTTGAAATTCTCGTCTGTTCCGACTGCCTGTATTTGAGGCAATGCTTCCTAGTTGGATAGTTGAATGAAGTTTTTTTTTATTTTCCTGCACGTTCCCAGTGGAACATAGGGCTCCAAGCTAGATGCTTGAAGTTTCTGTAGCAATGGTGATTATTTTTACAGGATGGGGTTGCTAGCCTCATGCCAAACCATTCCTCTTCACCAGTCTCACTACTGGCTTAGCGAGGTAAAGGAGTGCGCCGGCCGGGGATCGAACCCCGAACTATGTGCATGGTCGGCGAGCGTCCTAACCGCTATGCCACCGACGCACCGTTACAACAGTATGGTACTATTTATACATGTGCAGCTCAAGCATAGTATACTACTGCAAAAACCAATTCAAACAGGCTGTGTGATCGGCCCTCACTAGGCTCAGGAGTCACATAACACTTTTTCTCCTTCTCTTTCAGGTTACCGAAGGAAAAGTCGACTTCTAAAGTGTGGGCAGCCGGGGAATAAGCCATACATATTACCACAAGCAAGCAAAGCTTTTCTTATCTTCATCTGTCTTCATTTCCATCATTTTTATCATCTTACTTTAGTCCCACTGTTAATACCACTCCACCGATAAGTCTCTCTGTCTTCTTGTAAATCTGCAAACGTAAATAGAGACCAGAACCGGAAAAACACAAATGATAGTCTCCTAAAACTACGCTCCTAGCCTCACGTAGGACACTCTGTCGAATCAGACAACAGGCTTCAATAGCCAGAAATCTGGTATCTCGAGCCGTAGATGTTTGTTGTGTTTCAGAGACTCAAATCTAAGAAGACATTGTAGTTATTCACCTACCCCTACGTTTTCAACAGGGTAAATCAGCAAAAATTCACCTTATGGGTATCACAAGATTCTCCAGCTAGTTTGCGAAGACTCGCAAATATATGCATAGTATTCAGTACCAGGGCAGAAAAATCTCTAACCGAATGGATCTCAGTGGATAGTAGCACTTGTGCCGTCCAGTTGAACGGATCCATTGGAAAAAGGGAAAGATTGCTACACCCGCCTTAGCCTTTTCATAATCTCAGTAGTTCACGCCCCAACCCGACTGCAGTTCAGATGAAGTAAAGGATGAGTTCGATTAAAAGCCATCTAGTTTGCTGCTAAAAGAAAAACGTTCAGATACAGTCACCTCAGCAAACGATTTCAATGCACAAGTAGGGAAGTTGTGCCAAACACAGAATTATATTGCCGACACTAATGGAGTTCCATACCAACGAATCGACAATGGTGATCATCTTCTACAGTCCTGTTCAGGTAGTCATCTGTTCTTGGTCAATACCGACTTCAAACACAAAGAGAGACATTTCCCAACCTGCGAACATACATCAGCAAATCAGAGATGGACTCAAGAGCTATCGCTGGTGACGGTTAGGAGACTACCGCTCCTTCTGGAATGCTTGCGTAAGATATGACCACGCCCTAGTCCATGCACGTATATGCTTTCCATTCAACGGAAAGCAGGCAGCAGCAATGATGCTGCTACACCCCCAACTCGATGAGAACACAAAGTCTCAATTTAAAGGACGCGTATCTGAGAATGACAGCAGGAATCGTCCTGAGAAAGCCTAGGAATAATATTCAGTGCTAAAGAGTAGTCAGATATCACTCCACCACCAAAGATGGCACAGGTCGCAAACGCTAAACTAGGTTTCTGATTCGATGTTTAGGTTTCGTCAGTAACTTGTTCATCACAGCTGATCAAACTTCTGAAGTAAGTGATTTGGTTAACGTATCCAATCAATTCACTTCCTTTCCTTAAAATATGTATCGGTGCAAACCGGTCGTGTAACATTCTTTATTTGATAAATAAAAGCATAGTAATAAACATGTATTTTTCTCAAGTCGTTACGAACCCATTTTTTCACCTAACAAGATTATAGAGTCTGCATACTCTGGATCAAAAGTTTTCCCTGTTAATAAGTCACTTTCTGAAATACTGAAATCCACCGGTCACTTATTATAGTACATACATAATGAAATTAAATAAAGATGGTGAAATTGAACATCCCTGACATACACCACTGGTTGTCTTCATTTCAGATGACAGCTCTCATAAGCTCTAAAGCGACTGCATCAGTCCAAGTAGGACACCCTGAGTTAGGAGTGCTCAAGCTGGACAAATCTGGTGTCAGGCTATGACGACTTTGACAGTTGGTTTGAGCCATGAAAGGAAGTAGGGATTGACTGGACAATATCGCCGGAATGCTACGAAGCAATTTATGTAGGCTATCGGTGATATGGCCGAAAATCGGTCTCAATGGCTGAGGTGCATTCACAATCTTTATGGTCTCTCAGATTCACTAAACTATAATGTTTTTTTCCATGTTACTTTGCTTTCTCCCTTATATTTCAGTTTTATTATACTCAATTATAGCCATCATTATGATGTATCTAATAAACCAACTAATATGGAATTGCTTACTACCACAATGCCCAAGTTTTGCACATATAGTCCATTATAACTTTTCTTTTCTCTCTTGTCTTCCCTTGTGCGCTACTCGGAGTGTGTCAACTCGAAGTACCGCTTTTCTGTGTTAAGTTCTATGTTCAAACTCAATCAATCAGTCAGTCCGTCAGACTATCTTGAGTAGGACAACATCCTTTCTTGATACTCCCTCTAAAGCCAGACACTATTACAGCATAGCTGAACCGATGGAATTAAATTTCACTACCAAGCGTCAGATACTAGTACAATATGCCTATATCCCAGAACTTGTCGAAGAGTGGAGATATGATAAACACAATTTATATCGGTTACAGTTTTCTCAGCTTTGTTTTCTCACGCTCCACGTAGACTTCATGAGACTATGGAATCTAGAATCTGAATACTATATCAGCCAATCCGATTTCCTGTAATTTCCACAAGTGAATTTATATCTCTCCTAATAAACTGTGATGATCAACAATCTATACCAGTCCAAGGGAACTGTCTTGAATTCTTAGAGGATACCTTAGTTGCTCCATCTTATAATTCATCACGACCATTATGTCAAACACCGGATACACCCAGGTCCTGATGACTTGCATCGTTTCAGGTCAGTAATCTCTTTTAAATCCCTCCTGTTGTGATGGTGGGTGATTGGCACTGGATGTTGCTGCCATTTTTGTTGTTGTTGGTTGGTTGGTTATTTTCATCACCTCCGTCTTGTTCACCTATGTTCACCTGGAGTCCTGTCTTAGCCGGCTGCTCCTTCGACCAGTTTGTCGGTCGGTTTTCACTTGTAATTCTTCGATTTTGTGTGACATCAAACATAAATCATCCACGCGCGAAATCCAGGTCTTCTAGGTTCTTCACGTTGGTCGATCCAGGATATCCCTGTTTTCTCGTTTCCTACTCACTGTCTGACACATAATCCAGTCAGTCCACCACAATTAGGAATATCACTGGTGATAGATAATAATCCCCCTTGTCTGACTCCTGTGTTTACTCCAAACATCTCTCTGAGTTTTCCGTTGTGGATCACTTGACATGTGTCGTTGTCGTGCAGCTGTTGAATAAGGTTGTTGTTATATAATTATGAAAGTTATATAATTATAAAAGTAGTATAATAATACTTACCTGAAAAGTTGTATGTGTATCACAATAGAGTTGCACAGTATCTCTTCTATCATCCGATGGTGGAGGTTTAATAAATTCTCGTGTAGACGGGATAATACGTTCTTTACCAATATGATAAGTAAGAAATATACGATCTTCAATGATATTAAATATTATCTCCGAAACATCTTCATCAGCGTCCACCTCAGGATTTCGCGTAAATCTTTCTAATATTTTATCAATATTCAATTGGTTCACTGTTGTCAACGTTAATGAATGAGTATTTTCTTTATTTTGGGGTTGTGGGGGTGGTGGTGCTGGACCAAAACGTTTCATTTTAGCACTATAAATAACTTCACGATAAAATAAACGATCCTCACGATTTTTATAGTGTTCAATCATTGTTGTCGGTGTTTGTTCACGCTTCTCTAAACAATCCACTCTTGCTTCATTATAAAATAGCATATAACGTGTTGTATGCAAGGACTGTTGACTTCTATAGTAACCATGTTCAGCCAGATGACTACTATTACGTCCATGATCAAATTTTTCAACAATCCAATTTGTTTTTATTTGTATTGTACGACTAATTAGTTTGTCAGCACGATTAGCGTAAGTTTCTCTTATTTCTATAGGGTTTGTTAATTCTCTATCTTGATAAATTGTTAATCGAAGTATCAAACCATCATATTGTGAAAATGGAGCAAAATTTTCAACTAAAGAATATTTATATTGCTTTTTTTTAAAACCTTTTGGATAACGTAATTCAAATAATTCTTGATCAATCACTATTGGTAACGTCCATGTTGGCGGTAAATCATACAACAACAGTTTATCTTCTAGACAAGCTAATGGTTTCATTTGAAAATTTTTATGTAATTTTTGTAAAATATTATCATTTAAATACTCACCATCATTACTATTGTTATTCTCACTAGAATTAATACTTGTATTTGTATGCTTTGTACTTTTTAATTTATGAATTGAATTTGGTAGAATTAACAACGGTTCATTACTAATACGTGTTTGACTTTCCCGCTGTATTGCATTAAAATTCAATGTGGATTGAACATTTTCAATATGATAGGATTGTGGCATTTCATTCGATTGTAAATGTGGTATACCTAAGGGTTGAATTGTATCAAATTTGATATTTAAACTACCACTTGGCAATAAATATTCCCAGCATATACCATCAGAAAGATTATATTTCAAATGGGTGATACCATTAGAACAATCTTGCATATTAACCCAATAATTTTGATGATTCCATAAACTTTCTATGCCTAAATACATTGAACAATCTAATGGTTTCGCTTGACCAGTCAGTGCTTCAATAAAAAATCCTTCAGAGACATCACGTTTCCCAGGGAGAATTAAAATCCACGCATGTATTCTAAGACCATACAATGGATCTTCACTGGGTTTATACAACTCTGCTTCACTTAATTCTGCATCTTTTTTCGCTTGTTTATTGCGTTCAATTTCAGTTTGTAAATCTTTTGCTGCCATTGCTTGTTCATATTTTGAGGTTAAATCTTTAGCTGGTTTAATTATATAACGTTTCGGCTCTGGTTCTTCCTCTTCAACCTCCTCAACTTCTTCTTCTATTAAATATGGACAGGTTTCACGTGTTTCATCCATATAACAACATTCTCTAGTGGCATAACCACTCACTACATAGGCATCATAGCCAACAGCTAGAAGCAAAGAGCATAAAAGCATTGCATATTCAAAACAAGTACCTTTCTGCAATTGAATTGTTGTCATTGGACTTAGAAGACGTTTTGGTAACTCAGTCGATGGAATAAGTGGAACAAAATTAAGAAAATCAGCAACAAATTTAGCTGTCCCCTCCCATGTATATAATTCTGGATAGGGTAAACGTGTTACCGTGAGTGTGGTACATACAAATTTACGTATACCACATTCATTTTTAGGTATTAGTAATAATTTTGTCCTATCTGGACAAAGATGTTCATATTGTCGAGAAAAATTTTCACAATATTCTAATAAACGTGATTCTTTTAAGGTATTTTCTTTATATGAATTAGGAAATGTGAATGTTTCAAAGGTTTCAGGTAATTTCTCATAAGCATCTGGTAAATATAGTGGATCTAATTCACGAAATTGTTGTCTTATCGCTGGATCATTGATTTCATTCAATGATACTTCTTCAGTACTACTAATCGTTTGTTGTTCATTGAATAGATTATCTGGGAATTGTTGATTTGGATCCATCAATTTATTGTCAACTTTTTCATTTTCGGCTACTTCATTATTGTTAGGCAAATTTATATCCTCGATTAGATTATCTGTTGGGTCGGTTATTTTAAGGGTTGAAGTTGAATCAGTTTCTGGTGGTGTAGTCATAATTTTCAACCTGTGAACACAGAGGAGAAGAGTTTATACTTAATTAACTTGGAAATGAAGAGGTGTGGTGAAAGCTGGCAGTTAGTCAAAATTGGTGGACAGTAATTTACGTCAATGTTTATGTTCCCAATATTGGTCGTGAGAAAAATCAGAACAAAGGCTTTGTGTAGGCGGATACAGTTAACATACAGAGATGATCTGACATTCAAGAAACAGTCACAAAGCGATGCAAGGTTAACTTTTTGTGAGAAACAACCAATCAGTAGGGTGTGTTTTTCTGTTAACAATAATCTATAATATGTGCATGAAAATCTACAAATACGTGTTGATTTGCTTAACAAACGATCTGTTGCCTGGCCCTTGTCTTCTGTTCATACAGAGGTACTGGATCCCAGTGGAACCCTTCATTGACAGATATCTTCATGAAAAAGAAGTGTAACCTTTGGAAATGATGTAATACTTGGTTGAGAAATATGCTTAGTAATGCTCATAACAAGAATAAAATTTCATACAATGATTCCCTTTTATAAATTTGAACAAAGAAAGAAGAAATATTGGTGCAGAATAATCTGGATCCATTTTATTTCAGAAAATTAAAACAATTAGTCCCTTTGATAAATTTGAATAAGGCATTAAGAAGACAAATTTCGCGAGATGATGGAATCATTTCGTAGTTTCTTTACAACCGCTTTACAACTAACATGCTTAACAATCATAAAATAAAGTTCATGACAATTACTCAGTTAAATAAAAACAAAAGTACATACTAATGACCAATCATATTTAGATAGGTCATGTAGTCCAGGGTAGGCGAAGATTGAAGTCTATTGTTTTGACTGTACACACAGTTTAGGCTATATGTGATTAATCCCACAAAGTGCTTCCATCACCTTCAATCACCAACCTTGAATTAGAGTTATGTGATAAAATAATTGTGAAACAGTCATTAATATTTATTTTGTGACCTGATATTAAAGAGTGTTTTACAGTGGATGATGCTGGATTTCTATTCAGATTAATCACATTGGGATTTTTGATATGATTTACTAGCCATTTTGGAACATGTTTTTTTCGACGACATTGGAACATTATGTCACTTCTACCTATATAGGTGTCACCGCAGCTGCAGATGAACTTGTAGATACAGTTTGAAGCAGAGTTCACAGAATTTCGTCCTTTAATCGTAGGAAGAGGGATCGAAAATGTTCGGCAAGTAAGAAAAAGAGATGTGGCGGCGTAGAATGTGCGTTTGATGGCTGATCGAAGTCTTTGAGTTGTCAACTGCATAATCTGGTCGCCCTTGAATGGGGTAGGTTAATGAAAATAGCTTTCTTTGGTACAGAAGCTGTCTTTTTGACATGTGGTTTTTCTTTGCTGTGACAAGTGATAAAGCTCTCCGGATAACCATTAGCTAATAAAACTGAACGTATATGTCGAAGCTCATCCATCAATGTGTCACTCGTGCATATTTTTCGGCCCCTTGAGAACAAAAATTTCACTAGGGAAAGTTTATACTGGATAGGAACAAAACTAGTAAAATGAAGATATTGTCCACGCCATGTCTGTTAAGGAAAAATATATCGCTGAATCGTTCCATCATCTCTCCCTTAGTCATAGTAATATCCAGGAAACCGAATTTGTTATTCGATTCTAGTTCTGAAGTCACTCGAATATTTGGATGAATATGATTAAAGAAACTACGAAATGATTCCATCATCTCGCGAAATTTGTCTTCTTAATGCCTTATTCAAATCCATTTTATTTCATTGGTTCTCATCAGCTGCGTACAACCTAAATTTTTTAATAAAAATAAAAAGTGTACAGTTTTAACAAATCTTTGTCTATTAGCGAGCATACTGTCAGAGCTTCATAGTAAAATAAGGCGTTGACGTTTACAGGGTGTCTAAAGTGCTATGATATACATATATGATTACAGGATTTCATTATGAACTGACATTGGTTAGAGAACCATTGGGAAACCTGGGAGTACTAGACAGCTGTTTCGTCCTAGTTTGGGACTCTTCAGCAACATGCACCCACCGGAATTCGAACCCGGAGTCTTCTGTTTACAAGGCCAGCGAGCTCGTATACCATTAAGCCACTGGGACCCGGTTCAATGGCCCATGAATTTTAAGTTTTGCCAATTCACGATATAGTGCAACCGCTAGCCAATGTCTTCGGCGGGTGTTTGTCCACATACCCTACTGGTTACGACTTCCGACTAGAACCCCAGGTAACTACCTACCTAAATTGGGCCAGTCACCAGTGAGCATCTAATTTGAATTCAAGTATTGGTTTGTAGGAATTTGGTTGATTGGTTAAAGGATTTCATCATGAGCTTACATTGGTTAGAGAACCATTGGGAAATCTGGGAGTACTGGACAGCTGTTTCGTCCTAGTTTGGATCTCTTCGTCAGTATATATATATATCTTGTTAGAGAGAAGTTTCTTGAAAAAAATAATTCATTAACATTTTGTTGTTAGGATGGTAACAAAAGAAAATTAGTAATAGTTACGTGATTAGATAAGAGAAGATCAAAAATTTCGGTGCACATGAGGTCAGATGAAAAGTTGATGATGTAATACAGTGAGCTGAACTCAGAACATCAAGAAAAATTATCTCACAGGAGAGTCAAGCGAAAAAGAAAGGGAGGGGGTGGAGTGGAAAGATAAGCTAACAAAATTAGAAAACAAAGAGTTACTAAGAAGTGAGTCACCAGGGTAATTGTAGTCCAACAACGGATGTTTTTTTGGACACATAAATCAGGCTTCAATCGTTTTATTGCTATAGCAATGTGCACCGAAATTGTAAAATTTTGATCTTCTCTTATCCACTTACGTAAAAATTGTTAATTTTCTTTTGTTACCACCGTAACAACACAACTGTTAATTAATTTTCTTCAAGAAACTTCTCTCTACCAAGATATATATGTATATGTATGTCATAACACTTTAGACACCCTGTAAATCTCAACGCCTTATTTTACTATGACGCTTTGACAATATGCTTGCTAATGGATAAGGGTTTGTTAAAATTTTACACTTTTTTATTGTTATTTAAAAAAAATTCAGGTTGTACGCAGCTGATGAGAACCAACGAGATAAAATGGATCCAGATTATTCTCTGCCAATGTTTCTTCTTTCTTTGTTCAAGAATAAAATTAATCAATATATTCAACCCTGTGTATATCGTCGAAAAATTTCGGAAAGATGGTTTTTCTCTAAAAGATTCAGCAATTAGAACAGGATCTTATTTTGAAGTTTACTTGGATTCCTAAGTTGCATTTTTTCCAGTTGACCATACACCAACTCTAATTGAAACAGTTTATTCGGTGAGTAAAAAATATTTATACTCCATCCTGAAGATGAGATGACCAGCTAGAAAGAATTAACACCCAGGAACTCCGTGAATAAATCAACCTATAAACTATCGCCTAATCCTTCGGGAGAAGAAAACGGAAATGGTTCAGATACACACTGAGAAGACTTTTGAGTAAAACCATGCCTTGGGAAATTCCCCAAATAGAATTGAATGAGAAACGATGAGTAAGGCGTGGGTTTAAGAGTGACATGCAGGAGATTGTATGAGGAGGTGATTAGCGCTTACGGAATATCGTGAACTCGCCTTAAGAGGACTGTGGAGAATAGAATGAAGTGAAGATGAAATGAATGCCTTTGGAAAATCTGAGCAGAGTTGAGTTACATTGTCTGTTAATACTCTTGAAGGATTTCACTGTGTGACCCGTGACTCATATGATCCGTATCAGCAAGATGTCTGGCAATAGCATTATCCACAGTATTTGTCCCCTTGAGGTGTAAACTTTTTAGTATATGTTCAGAGAATCTGAAATATGTCCTTGATTCTGTTCTTCCGGCGTAACTCCTCCCAGTTACACGTAAATTTGTACACAAAGTTGTTGTTAACATGAGAAGAGTATCTATCAATCTTTTATTGTACCATTAAGCTTCTTGTTCAAATAAATAGGAACAAATTTATCTTCGAGAGAAGGTTCCCGTTAGATAGGTTTTCCGTCTTCTGTTAATTATTCCCACGATATTATCACTTTTAAAGTTGAATCGGATAGGTGGTCTCGATTTCACCTTTCAGCTTTCAGAACTTCCCTAGTTTTTTGATGAATTCCAGAGGATAACTATTATTTTTTAGAACTTTCTCAAGTATTTCTGTAGAGCGAATTCTTCCGGCTTTTGATAAAATAGACTTTTGACCAATGCTACTTTCCGTCTAATTCATTTTTTTGTACACTGAAATGATAGTAACACTGTTAAACGGTTGGTAGATGAGAGATACCTATATAGATTGAAGATCGGAAGTTAAGCACACAGTAGCATGTTTTGCAGGAAACCCGCACACTCAAACAGATATCTTTGAACTTCCAATAATCCAATCTCAAGTCAGTGAAAACCTAAGTAGTACCAAGAGAAATCTAAGACAAGGAGTAAAGTGTACATGAGAAGCTCTGAAACTTAATAATTACCCTAATAAATTAGTCAGAAAGAATTTGGGAAATGTAAAAATAAAATAAATAATGATAGTAATGATAGTAATACTACTACTACTAATAATAATGATGACATGCATGTCAAATATGTGCAAGACAACACCAACAATAAGGAATCTAAATCATCAGTAGTAATTCCATACAAAGAAGGAACCTCGGAAGCCATCTCGCGGAGAATTCTTAACAAGCCAGGCAGTAATAAAAGTGGCTGGCATTCAAACCACCCAAAAACTTAATTAGAAAAAAGTTTTGTCGATCAAAGGATTCTGTAGAGCCTTTAAAACAAAACAATTTAGTTTATCTAATACCCTGCCTGCATTGATTGTCAGGTCAAATACATAGGTCAATTTAGTAGAACAGATGCAGTCAGTGAAACTAGCAGAGCACAGAAACCCAGCAAAATCTAGATTAGTTGACCCGACACTAAGATAAGAAATCTGGAGAATAGTTCAGTTATAGCACTCACTATATGCAGTTACACACAACGATA